AATCTTCTGTTCTTTGTATGTAGCTGTGTACTTTAATAACTTTCCAATGTTATGCAAGGTTCTAACTGCAACTTAATCCATTTTTTTTAATTTTTCTAGCAGACTCATACATAATTATATTTCATAGTTTTGCAGACACATAAATGTTGTTTTCCAATATTATTTCACAGTTTTCCTATAAAACACCAATGTTTAATAACCATAATTATTACAGCTTTTAAAGATATTCTCATTAAATCAGAACTACAAAATTTATACATTTAGTTGGGTTTACAGTTTTTCAATGATAAACTAAATTCTGTTTTATTTTCAGTTGTTTTCTTTATTTAACTCTGACAATGTTGAATGTCATATATATATATTACCATTATAAACATTAGTTTTTACTGGTTAATTCCTAAGTTGTGCCAAGGTTTGATAGATGACAGATACCCATTATTTTATTCCAACCAAAACATAACTTGAAAAACTATAGAATCCCTAATGTCTCTTTTATCCCATAAATAGTTAAATAACCATCTTTTCCAAGTCTGTAAACATTATAAACAATGTATTTATGACATTATTCCATTAATTTTATTGGAATAATGGAATCCCATGTACAAATGTAGTTGTAAAATATTCATGTATTTTCTTAATTGTTTTAGAAGTACAATTGTTTGCTTTCATCATTGTACTAGATCATAGGGACTTTTTGATACGGTCGGTTGTCAGTTGTTATTGAATTGAGATATTATGGTATACCACTGTCTGTCTTTCTGTTAGGACACTTTATACAAGTCAATTTGGTTTAAATTGACCGATTCTAAGGTATAGGGATTGTCCTGATCAAGCATGAAATATTTTCCACTGGATATTAAGCAAACAGCAATCAATCAATATGGATGGATGGATAAAGGCTATCTTTCAATTTTGACATTTTTCTGTAATGCAAACACCTTTTCAAAGTTGATTAAAAATGTTCTTCAATGTATCATTAGATTAGTAATTTGATTTTAATGAATTTTTCGATTGGGTTTCACAATAATGGAACTTTTATAAGAGAAGTAGGTCCATCAACCCATTTAACCAGCTCCCCTTTTAGTTTTCATGATTTTCATTTTGGAGCTATGTAAAAATGAGCAGAAGACAATTTTACATTTTGCTCAGTTTGAAGACAAAGTGTCAACAGCTTGTATGAAACATTGAACCTCCTTTTTTATTGTTGATGATTATCTGTAAATTGTTATGTAAGTTATTGGACTTCTGATGTCTTCTTTTATGATATGTATATGAATCATGCATCCTTGTTTCAGCTGTTTATTTATGTCTCATTAATGCTGTATATCTCAAGGTACTTGATGGTGTGGATGGGGATGGGGTTTACATAATAAAGTATATGGAGCCAAACATGCTGAATAAAGGGGGAAATAAATGATAGAGAATTATGGGGTGCTAGAATATATTATAAGATAACGATAGAGACTAATAATTATGGGCAAAATGATTGAAGAATGGAGAAAAATGAGAAAACAAATAAAAAATAAAGAAATGACGGACCACCCATGCAGACCCTCATACATGTCTACATCAATTTTGCAGAATTTTTGTCACATTATTTTAGTCATGGATCATGAACATGCTACACCATTAAACAACAGATATATTAAAAGTCAGTTATAGTAACACATTTTATAACTATATAGCTTATTTATGTGAGAAAACACATATAATTCCCTTTTGTATAATACATTCTCTGTGAGGTTTTATTTCTCTCATTTACAGTCAATAATCCTCTGATCTGTGTATTTATCATAGTTCTGACAGTAAGCTATTAATGATTCTTGCTTACTATGTATGTTTTCTCTGGAGACAATCTTTAGGTCTTCTATCATTGGAGTTAAATCTTATTGATTTAGAACCACTAGTCTCCTGATATTTTAAGGAAATGTCATATGTTATTAACACATTTTATCTTCTCATCATTTCCTTGTTTTTGAAAGTATTCATTTTTCTAGGCGGCTTATAAATTTATTTTTAAAATTTCATTTGAAATATAGATAAAGGAAGTTTTTGTGGGAAACAGCTTTATGTGATTGTTGTCCAGGCTATTTTTTTTAAAACAGAAAATAAAAAATGTCAGATTTAAGTGAAAGGAAAACAATATGTTGGGAGGATTATCAAGGGATTACCCCTTGGACATTAAAGCAATATTGTATTTCTGATATAAACACATTATCCTCTCCTTATTTTCTTTTTATTGAAAGTATTCCATTTTTAGGCAACTTACAAATTTATTTTCAAAATTTCATTGCAAATATATATAGCTAGAGAAAGGATTTGTGGGGAAGTAGAAAATGTCAGATTAGTGTGGGGGAAAACAATGTTTGGAGGATTAAAGAAGATACCCCTTGGACTTTAAAGCAATGTATTTCTGTTATTAACACATTATCTTCTCATTATTTCCTTGTTATTGAAAGTAAAAGTTTTTTTCTAAGCAACCTATAATTAATCTATTTTCAAAATTTCATTGCAAATATAGCTATTGATTAGATTTAAGGACACTAAACAGCTTTTCTTGATCCTATATTAGTCTGTTGCCCAGACTAAAGTTTTTTTAAACAGAAGATTGGTCATGTTAAAGTGATAGAAATTATCGGTATGAGAATTGAAACAAGAGATACAGATGTAGCCCTCTAGCTGTGCAGTCTTTCTGTTAAACCAATGATCAGCTGCTGTATTTTACAGTCAATATGATTAGCATTCACTTTGAAAACAATTGTATATATTTATAATCATAAGTTGTTTTTATGTCCCCCACCGTAGGCGAGGGGGCATTAAGTGTTACCTTTGACCGTCCATCTTTCTGTCTTTCCGTCAGTCTGTCCCAGACACATTCTTCTTTTATTTTCTATTTTGATTATGAAAAGGTAAATTATAAAAAAAATAATAGGTTATGGATGAGTTATTTCCCTTTTTACCATAATGATGGAATAATTAAAATATTTTCAGGATGTTTTATAATTGTGAAACATTTGTCCTAACACATGAAATAGAAAATATGTTCTAGTCCTTAGTATAAATTTAATTTGTCACTGGACGTTAAACAGCCATGCATTATTATTATCATCTATATTGTAATTTTGACTGTTGTGTAAATTGCTTTGATAAATGTATACACAAAATTTTTCTGAATTTACCATAAACAATTATTTTTCTATATAATATGAAATAGTCATTTAAGTTTCATAGACCTTTTAATAATGTATAATATTTCTTTTACCGTAAATTCAGAAATTATTGTGAAGTTTTTATTAATGCGAGTAATGCCACTGTATGAGTATCGCAATAACCATGCTCACATTGTGATATCTGATGCATATATATATTTTTCTCTAATTCTTACTCTATTTATCATTTTCCTGACCAGTTGATTATTTTTATTTAATCAACGTGTGCTTCATTTGATCTCTGTTTTTCATTGGTCAAAATTTGATTATGAAGTCAAATTTTCTTGCTTTCCGCTGAAATTCCTATTGTGGCGTCATGAAATAGGCGACCATGCCTGATGACTTCACATAGAAACAACACATCTTTTTGCAGGTCGTTCGAAAAGAAGGATTAAAGAGTGTCTGCATTTTGTCTAAAAATCATTAGAGAATCAGATTCCACCACCAAATCTCATGCAATACGATATTTATCCACTCTCGACAGATAAATTTTAAATATTTAAAACGCTCAACGAGCCTCAGGTTTTAAATTTGAAAATTTAACTGTCTCGAGTTCTCAGGTTTTAAATTTGAAAATTTAACTGTCTCGAGTTATCACACTCGATGCCGTGGTAGAATTTTGCAGATTTTCCTGAAATTGCAATAATTAATCTTGCACTTTTATCCATTCTACAAAAATCCCATTAATAAAAGCACACAATTATTTCTGAATTTACAGTATTTGAATGTTCCAAAGATAACTGATGAAGGAAGATTTTGATATGGTCTATACATGACCTATGGCTTATTTGTATTATATTTGATAGATGATAGAGGTAAATGGATTATGTTCATAATGTCTATCTTAAATTATGAATGATTTTTTCAGTGTGATAAATTCGGGCATGACCTTATCATTTATTATATTATATTTTCTTTTTATCTTTTTGATAGATGAATAGAGGTTGATGGATTATGTATATATTGTCAGTATCTTATGAATAATTATTTTGTTTTTTGTATTTTTTAGAGTGAATAATTTGTGCATGGCTTCAATTATATCATATTTTATGTTTTCTTTTCCTATATTTAGATATATGATCTATTTAAAGTTGATGAATTATTTTCCTAATGTCTATCTTATGAATTATATTTTGTTTTTGTATTTTTCAGAGTAAATAATTTTTCCATGACCTATTAGTTATGTTTTCTTTCTGTATTTTTAGATAGATTATTTTTTTTTTAAATGATGAATTATTTTCTTAATGTCAGCCTTATGAATTATATTTTGTTTTTGTATAAATTTTCAGAGTGAATAATGTTTCCATTATCTATTTTTAGTCCCCTAGACAAAGTCGAAGGAGACTATAGGTTGTGCACTCTGTCTGTCTGTCTGTCTGTCTGTCTGTCTGTCTGTCTGTCTGTCTGTCTGTCCAACCGTCAGTCCAGCAAATCAGTTTTCCACACTTTTTTTCTTCTGCTTGAAGATATTGATTTGATATTTGGTATATAGTTTTATCATGACCAGTTACAGATCAAGTTTGAATTTTGTTCTGGTCTGATGAGTTTGTGCAGAGTTATGGTCCTTGAACTTTGAAAATTCACACAAGTAATCAGTTTTCCACACTGTTTTAGTCACGCTTAAAGATATTGATTTGATTTTTGGTATACTATTAGTTTGACCATGACAAGTTATTTCTAATTATGTTTTCTTTCTGTATTTTTAGATAGATGAATTTTTTTTTAAATGATGAATTATTTTTCTAATGTCTGAGTCTTATGAATTATAATTTTTTTTTGTATTTTTTTCAGAGTGAATAATTTGCGCATGGCCTATGGATTATATGAAGGGATAGACACAAAATGTACAGAAACTAAAGGTTTTGATGAATTAGCAGAATTATGTAGACAAATGATGAAATCTATAGAAGTCAAAAGAACTCTATGGGCAGCTATTGTAAGTTAATAAGTAAATACTAAGAGTGACAACTCTCTTTTTTGATAAATTTTGCTAAATTTACAACCCCCCATCTAAGTAAAATCTTTAAAAAAATATGGTTTCAATTCACGCAAACCAAGTGGATAGGTTGGCCTCATTTTAGGCTCATTATGATATTCATTTATTGATGATTGCCTTTTGAATTAAGTCCTTTTCAATATACTTGATAGTACAGTGATCATGAAATACCATGAAAAAATAAATAAGTCAGTGTAAAATGTTTCACCTCAAACAAAATTCCTCCCTTGACACTTTTTAGAAAATTGATCGATAAGAAAACAACCAGGAACCATGCATTGCTAGATATTAATTCATTTGATGGTACATGTATATATAAGAGGCAAGATATTATTGGTCGACAAACTAGTGATGGTGTCCTTAAAACATATAAATTCATTTTCAATATCCAGTAGATTCATTTACTGTAAATTCAGAAATTATTGCGTGCATTTATTATTGTGATTTTGTCATTTTGGACTGAAATGCAATTTGAATTTTTGCGATATTGAGAAAAATCTTGTTGAATTCATATAAAAAATTTCAAAATGCGAGTATAAATTATTGCGATTATAACCCTGTCGCATTTTTTGCAATAATAAAAACATCGCAATAATTTCTGAATTTACAGTATTTTTGCAGGTACCAAATTTTGAGGATTCACACGATTACTCTTGAAATATATAAAGATCCCAAGTTCAGCAAAAAAATGTCTCTTGAACTAACAATTAATTATTGTTAGTGCTGGTGTTTGGTACACTTGTGTCTATATCAGTCGAGCTTTCTCTATATCTATATAAAGGAACCTCGGTGGTGGAGCGGTCTAAGTAAACGAACTACTGTGTCACTAGCCTGTCAACATTCAGGTTGTGAGTTCAAATCCTGCACGTGGTAGGTCTGCTTGACTCCAATCTTAATTGACAAGGATTTTCAGTTTTCCAACACAAGGTTGGTGGTTCTCTCCGGGCACTCCGTCTCCCTCCACCAATAAAAACTGAACCACACAAATTAACACAATATTGCTGAAAGTGGGATTAAACACCAATCAATCAATCAATCGATCTACATCTATACAAGATTGAAAGGAAATATTGTGTTTTTTTGCGTCGTATAATGCTATGATGTCGGCTTCTTCAGCATCGTCCGAAGACACATTTGGTTTCCGGACAATAACTTTAGTGTAAGTGAATGGATCTGAATGAAATTTTACTAGAAGGTTCATGCAATACCACAAAAGGAAGGTAATGTGATTGATTTTGGGGGTTATGGTACCAACAGTTTAGGAATTAAGGGCCTAAAAGGGGCGAAAAACAAACATTTTTGTAGTTTCCAGACAATAACTTGGGTGTAAGTGTATGGATCTCTCTGAAATTGTACCACAAGGTTCCATATCACAAAGGGAAGGCTGGGATTGAGTTTGGGGGTAATTGCCCCAAACATTCAGGGATTAGGGGCAAAAAAAAGGGCCAAAAACAAGCATTTTTCTAGTTTCCAGACAATAACTTGTGTTTAAGTGTATGGATCTCTCTAAAATTGTACTACAAGGTTCCATACCACAAAGGGAAGGCTGTATTGCTGGGCTTGAGTTTGGGGGTAATTACTCCCAGTGGTGGGGAGGGGGGGGGATTCTAAAAGTTCGGGGAGGATTTTTTTTCTTCAATTGCACAGTATTGCGGAATAGCAAGAAATCTTCAATTGCACAGTATTGTGCAATAGCAAGAAATCTTCAATTGCACAGTATTGCACAATAGCACAGTAATGTGCAACAGCAAGAAATCTATTGCACAGTATTGCGCAATAGCACAATATTGTGCAATAGCAAGAATTCTTCAATTGCACAGTATTGCGAAATAGCACAGTATTGCCCAATAACAAGAAATCTTCAATTGTAGCAACAACACAGTGTTGCACAGTAGCACAGTATTGTGCAATAGCACAAGTATTGCGCAATAGCAAGACATTTTCAATTGCACAGTCATGACAGGATTGCAGTAGACAATAGCAAGGAATCTTCAATTAAAAATAAATACAAATCTTTTAACCAATTTCAATGGGATTAATTTAAAGTCTTTAATTTTTGGGGGTTCTAACCTTGTATTACATTTTTTGGATATTTGGCCCCATTTTTAAATTGGTCTATATTGAGGTCAAAAGGGTCCACAATTAAACTTTGTTTGATTTCATTAAAAAATGAATTATTGCAGCTGTATGATATGCTGAATCTTATTGTGCATTTAATTTTTTTTTTATTTTGGGCCCTGTTTTCAAATAAGTCCATATTAAGGTTTGAAGGGTCCAAAATTAAACTTTTTTTTTTTTTTGTTTGAATTTTGGTGTTTTTTTATATGCTGAATTGAACCATGTTGTTAGATTTTGGACATCAGACCATTCTAGGTAAATTAAATGGCCCATTTCAAACTTGTAAGATCTTTAACCACATTTATTCTGTGTCAGAAACCTATATTATGTCAAAAAATTGATCACAATCCAAATTTAGACAGTTTGAATATTGTGTCCAAACTTGCACCAACTGTTCAGGGTTCGATCTCTGCGGTAGTATCAAGCTGCGCTCAGCGAAGCATTTTTTTTAACTGAAGGAAGTATCTCAACTACATCTTATATCAGAGTTATCTCCCCTTGATGAGAATGTAGGTGGGAAACCCCCTCTCTTTTTTTTCAGAACCATAGGTAGTCTTTTCGTATCTCATTCTACAGATGCACTAGCTGTACTAGACCATTATATGGTTTAGTCGATACAAATCCAGAACCAGTTAGCTTTGTAATCCCACACAATACCAATCCTTTCAAAGCTTTCATTTATATCAGACAGTATCAAGTTTCTTTATCCTCAGAGAACGGCTAAATGAAATCAACATCGTAATTGAAATGACAATCAAAATACGGCTCGGAAACTTTCAATTGATGGACTCTGTTATCCCTCCAGAGGATTTGGTTCGCTACATGTTCTGAAAAGTTCTGTATAATATTGAAAAGAAGTAATTGAGGCAATTGGGAAATCTTGCTGAGATCTGTGGATCAATATTATTGAATGAACAGTGGGTAAACAGCTTGAAGTCAAAATTTCTGTCAATTATTCAGTTAAAGTTTGTTTTTGTAAGATAATACTCTCACAATCAAGAGATAGAATAATAAAGGAAAGATATTAAATTGAGATTGCAGAGGGATTCATTTTGTATGGTTTTTTTTTCAGTGTTTTAAATTTCTGGTAAATCCTAGTTTCATTTTATATAATTATCAATATAATTAACATTTAGAAAATTCAGGGATTGAAGTTAAAATTTTTGCATGGTAGCCCACAGCTTAAATTTTGGTAACCAATGTATATAGTTTAATACAAGAAAAGCAGAAATTTTAGTAGCCCACACCAAATTTTAGGGGCCATTGGTGAGTGGGCCCCTGCTCATTTCAAACCCTGTTCAAAATGTGGTATATGATTGTGAATGAGACAACTATCCATCAAAGTCCAAATGACATAGATGTAAACAACTATAGGTCACCATCTGGCCTTCAAGAATGAGCAAAACCCATACCGTATAGTCAAGTATAAAAGACCTGACATGAAAAATATGAATGAATTCAAAAAAGAAAACTATTGGCCTAATTTATAACAAAACAATTTATGAAAAACAAATACGACTCATGAACCTTTGACAACCACTGAACTACAGGCTCATGACATGGGACAGACACTTAAAGAATGTGGTGGGGTTAAAACGTGTTTTGAGTGCCAACCCTCTCCTCACTTGGGTCAATGGTGTAACAGTACAACATAACAACAGACTATAAAAATAGTCTGGTATGTAAACCAACATTGAATCAAGTATCTAAAGAGAATACAATTTGTCTTCAATCCACAAAAATTGATTCCCCGTGAATATAAACACCACTCTTGAATCCTTCAAAATAGTATAAATTTGCATTGAACATGTTGAAGATGTTGACCATATTATTATTTAACTTTTTATGCCCCTGCCGTAGACGACAGGGGCATCAAGTGTTACCCTTGACTGTCCATCTTTCCATCTTCCAGTCCATCCCATTTTTATTGCAAAGCTTGAGCGGAGGTATTCGTGTCCTCAGACACATTCTTCTTTTATTTCATTATAATTTTTGTTTTCTTTTTCAGGTTAGTAATGCATCATGTGACTATCACAATGAGAATCGTGTGTTACTGAATCGTACAAGGGAGAATTTCGTGTGGCATGACATGACTTCAGGGTTCGGCTGGATACATACAATACAGTGCATGGCTATGCGAACGTAACACATGTTATATACGTACATTCTTGCAGTACAATCCTGATTGTTTTTAATCGGAAAAGTGTTGCCTTATTTCATGAATGGATTATTGCATTTGATTTAACCATGACCGTTTTATTTTTCATTGAACGTAGCATTCCATATCAATAGAATTCAGTGTGCAAAATACGTTGAAGACAATCAACTGGGAAAAGAAGAATATTCATCTAATCAATTATATATAGCACTTTAAATGTTTTGGTTATGATAACCTTTAGTGACTAACCGAAAAGTATTGAGTTTCAAGGATGCGACATTTAAATCGACAAAAAAAAAAGTTTAGTGCAACCAGGTCAGGTTGAACTGGCCTTTTAAGTTATATTGGATATTATTATTTCCATTTTATATGTTCTGATTAAGTTATTTTTATGGTATGAGTTATTCTTCCATTCAGCGATTGTAAGTTCTGTAGAGCAAGAAATTAATGCAATGTTTTTATTGATGTAAAGAATGTGACAGGGTGTCTCTTTACACATTGTTTGTAGCAATAAAAACGTTGCATTGAATTTTTAATGTTTTGCATTGGTAAAGTTTGGCAGGATGTATATGGAGTTTAATTGAAATTGCATGAATAAATTCAATGTTTTTATTGATGCAACTGAATTGTAATCCGTTTAGCGCAGAAAAAAATATAAGGACTTACAAAAATCTAATTTCTCAAATATGAAACAGACTATAAAAGACATTTAAATAGTATAGATTTAACTGTTCGAAAATGTAACTATTATAACAAAACAGCAATTTGTTTCCTTTGAATTCAGCTGTAAGGGGAAATAACTCTCATCTCACAAAAAAGTTAAGAATGGAAGATTTTTTCGAATCAAAAATATGTTTGTATTTTATCAGTGATTATAATAGATTTACAGATTATTTGGTGAATGTGATAATCAACAATCTTGGTGTACACCAAACAAAACAAACCAATGATGGAAAATGACACATCAAAATTCCCAGTCTCTAAAAATAGCTGGTTTTAAAGACAATCTGCCTGTCCGACTAATATGAATGAAATTGTAATTTGTCATTTATTCAGAGTCCAAAGCATTCTGGGTATTTTCAAAAGTTTGCATAAAAAATTGTCCTTGGAATTGAAATAGAATTATTCAAATATGTTTTTCTAGTGCTGTGTCCTTTATATTAAAAAATAACTATAAAATGTAATTGTCCTGTAGCATTATGGGAGATTATAAACTGACAATAGTTCTCAAATTTCAGGAAAGATAGTGCTTGATAAGTAAAGTGTATATATGAAAATTAGTACTGCTAGTATTATGACAAGCGTGCTTAAATTTTATTAAGAACAAAATATATAGATAATTACAATGCTTTCTATTTTTGTTTCTCTTCATTCATGCCATTCATCTGTTAAATTTCTAAAATGATTGTCTATTGTTCTAGTCAATGTATATGATTTGAATATTAAGCAAGAACTGACTGTGGAATGCTGCATTATTTAATAAGATTTAACATGTTTTAACTTGTATTTACACTATAGTTCAGAGAGATTCTGTAATTTCATTCAGAAAATAATAAAAAAAAAAACAAATAGAAATGTACAATTTTGAACAAAGGGAGATAACTCCATTCAAAATATTGCCAAAATGTGTTCCATTGCTGAATACACTTTGATATAGAATTTTAAGTTCACATTGCAAAATGAAAGCAATGGTTCACCTTCAGTGCTGACTTAAGTACTTTGATTAGTTTACAGGAATGGGTATTTGCATTGTTGGCATGTGGAAATTTCAAAATTCACTATAGCTATACATGCAATACTTGTATTATGTGTTGTTCAATGCTTGTATTGGTATGCCCTGAATTATAAACTGTCTCTAAAATCTATAAACATGATAAAGAAGTATAAGTTGATCTGAAAAAAAAATTATCAGGTTCTTATATCTCTTTTAAACTGACAAGAAATTGTGTTTGCTAAACTAAAGATTAAGCTGATTGAATTTGTCTGTGCTAATTTTATTTGTATAATTTCAACAGAAACTCTGGAAAAAATGGTATATAATATGTATGTAATAATCATTAGCTTTGTAAGTTTTTAATTATATAAATAAGGACCTTAAGCAATCAATAATCAATGTAATATCGATTGAATATTTTGTTAAGAATCAGTTGCAGTTATTATCAACATTCAGTTTGCAATATATGTGTAAAAGATTCTTGGATTGAAATGTAGATTATGAATAATTAAACAGCAAAACATCCTTACGGAAATATTTGCTAAGGAATTGTTTTTGAGATATTTTTCATAAACTGAACATTAAATAATATCATATCATTATTGAATATAACATTGAAAAACAGTAATTCCAAAAGTCTTTAAAATTTTAAGTATGTATTTGGTGCAGTAAAGTGTCTCCTGGGCAACATTAATTGAATATTTGCAAGTTTCTTAGACTTTTTGAATTACTGCTTACCTTAATTAAACCATGTTGATTGGGACCAAAATAAATGTATTGTAAATGAAACCATTCACTTCTAGACAGTTGAGGATAAATCCATGAACTAAGCCTTTGCTATTACTATAAATTTGGATTCATAACAAAAAAGTCACTATGCAATTTTATGGCCTTAGAGCTTTGTATTCTTGAGACATCCAGTACATTAAATCGGATTTGATATAAGATGCCACAGTGATTTTTATGCAAAATATGACACAGAAAAGAATTTGAAAGGGTAATGTTTTCATTTCTGAACCAAAACAGCTTTAAACTCATAAGATCTATCTATTATTTCACAAAAAATCTTTTAAAGATAAGTCCACATTTGTGGGGACCATATACAATATTGTATAAAGTTTACTATAACAATAACTATTGATTTATTTGTAAATTAAAGTGATTTGCTAATCACTTATATATATGTATTGTTTGACTGTATTGTTGGAATTGTACTATCTTTTTGTTTTGTATTTGCTACTGCTCTTTATAAATGTTTTCTTCTTTTAAAAAAAATGATATTTTTAGTGCCCTTTATTAAAGAATGATTCCTGTAATGATATTAACAATATTTGTTAAAGGGAGTTAACTTCCCACAATAGGGTTATCTCTTTTTATTCCTAAAAAGGTAGATATCTATTTGTTGGATATAAGAATCTCCTTATTGGGATGTTTACCTTCATAGATAATGGGAAGTAACTTATTAGGGTTATTTCCCTTTATGTTCAATTTATATCATAAAAGTACTCTTCTGTCAAGGGGAGATAAATGAAATCTGTAAAGGGAAGTAATTGATACAAAATCATAAGTATGACTTGATTGATGCAGGTGTTTGATACCGGTAATGTAAACTGCTTTATATTTGTATTTTATACTTGTACAGTAGCAGTCCGTCTGAATGCTATATCTGTGATGTCACCTCTGTAATTATGCACAATTTTATCATTGTATAATCTCATTGTTCATTTTATTAACATCATTCTGATTTGTTCCTTATTATAGTAAGACTTTTGGAAGTTTTGGCGAGTCGCCTGGACCAAAGACATATAATACCAGAGATTGGCAAAACCAATTATTGGCCATATTATCAAAACTGCCTCGGCTCTCTTGTAATTTTTCAAACCTCTTTTTCACAAATGACATATACCGTGTGTTTTAATATTTCTCATTGTATTTTAATTTTTGGATAGTACAAATATGAGGAGAATTTGATGGGGTATATGCATGGATTATTTAACATTGTTTTGTGATCTTTTGCCATGCTTAGATTTTATGATGATTTGTAATTTACCCATGAATCTTTTGGGCGGCATGGTATCACAAGATTTCACCTGATTTGCCAATCTGTGGTTTTATAAGTCTCTGTCACGAAAAAAAATCGGAGGTGAAAGATAACAGCCATATTCATCTTCATGCATTGACATACAATTAAAGTCATCATATAGAATGCCTGATTTTATTTGATTGAAATGTTTATAAATAATTTTTGTATTATTACAATGTGTGCCTTATATTTATTGTAAAATTATGGAATATTCTTTTCAAGTGAAGAAAAAAAATAATTGTTTTACTGTATAACAGTACCAAATACAACCCGTAACATTTAAGTATTTGTTCTGGATGTGTAAAATATTACCAGTATTTATTAACTTTTCGGTTATAACTGAATTACTATTTTAATTTATTATGCTTGGAAAAAATAATTGCATTTTAAAAGAAGGAATACATATACTTATAAAACATTAATAATTTATTTGAATATTATCTGATTATATTTATTAGAAAATCACCAAAACCCATCTGATGGGCATTTTATTCATCAGTTTTTTTGTCTAGAAAACAGACAAGGATATTGAATTATGGCTTACGGTAATGTTGTTGTTTTGACTTAAAAAGTTTTTAAACCTGCCAAAATTTATCATTTATTTTGGATGTTTGGAATTAACTTTGCGTTGCTAGGTTTTGAGCTAAAAATTTCATGATAAGTTTAGGTGGTTCTTTATTTGTTAAAGTGGAGGGGAGATTTTTCCTTTCCGTCCGAGAAGAACAAAATTTAAGAATTTGTATGCGCAAGATAGACTCATCCAGAGTAAATGGTCGAAATTGACAGGTTGTAGTGCTTCGCTCATTCTTGTTTATGTTATATTTTACCAACTATTTGTTACATAATTCACATTTCATACAATTCATCATGTTCTTAGTAATGAGGTTAAGGTTTTTACATTAATGCATTTGACATGTACATGTATATAGGGAAAAACACAAAAGACAATTTTTCATAATTCTGTTGAGCCTTGTTTTAGAGGGTTCACAATATTCCATATCATAAAAAGAAAATTGAAAAACAAAATACCTGAAAAAAATATAGATTATTTCATATCCCTATTTATTTAAATGAAAACATCTTCTTTATATTCTCAACCAAAAGATTGACAATTTCAAAATTAAAATTGAAAACATTGTGTATTTTCATATTCCTTAGAGTCCTAAAACCAGATTTTCAAATCACTTTCAAGGTTGGAAAAACAATTAAAAAATCACATCATAATGCAATTCATTATAGGAAAAAGGAATCTAAATGAAAAAAAAAAGTAATAAATCAATCAAAATAAAGAATAATCAAAATGTACTGAGGAAGAACCCCACCAGAAGACTTTAGAGGTCAAGTGAACAATTTGCTCATTTTGTGTCGAAGCAGAGGTCTGGTAATAGGCAAAAACCTCTGGTTGAAAAAAAAACAAAAAAAACTGGGTTTTGTATGTTACTTGAAAATGTTGTTACCCAGTGAAAAGAAGTATTTAAATAGATGATTTTATCTTTGATTGCAAGTGAAAAAAATTTATTTGATTGAAAAATTAGTCATTATTAATCTTTTTTCATTGTTATCTTGCAATAAATGAAATAAATAGCAAAAAAAAAAAACCAAACAAGATTATTATTAAATTTTTGTTTTAGTTCATGCCATTCACTCACTTTAATTTTGATTTTTATCACTGGTGGACAGTATACATCAATTTAGTGATTATAGATTTATGATTTTATTGATTATAGACAATTTTTTGGGGTTGGGGAATCACTAATTAGTTTGAAATCACAGGGGACTTAGAGAAAAATATCCGACAATCATAATCATAATTTGGTATGAATTAAACTTAACTCGTCTTAATGTCAGTCAACATAGACTTGTATTAATTTTAAATACAATGAAAACGTATTGCATCAAATTTATCATGTTTTTTTCTGCTTGAAAGAGGGTGTGGATGGGGGTTACAAAATAGAAAATAATGACTAAAAAAAGAGACTAAAGTGGAAAAAAGAAAAATTCAGACATATATGTTCAAAAATTAAAGAAGTAAGAATAATTGGGTGTTATGATACAAAGAATAGAGAAAAATAACCCAAAAATAATAAGAATATAGAAAGCATGCACCTCCATCCAGACCCTCATCAAAGTCAGAAACATTTATAGTTCTGTCTAGAAGGTTTTGCATACAAATTTAAATAGCTCTGCATTTGTAGAATAGAGTAAATGAAGTATCCCCAACATTAATTATAAGTTTGCAGTATGCATGAAATATTTCCCACTGGACATTAATTAACAAACAATCAATCTATTTAAAGTTTGTTATTTTAAAAGATTGGTATTCTGAGAATGCACAAAAATACCAAACATTTTTGAAAGTTCATTAAAGTTCTGGTGTATTTATCTTTTTCAACTTGTTTAATACATTCTATATTTTATCTAATGAATGGGTACAGGGAACATCTATATGTTCTCCACTGGAACATTGAAGTGTATAACTGTTGAGAGATATAAAATATATGTTTTAATGCGACACACATGACAGCAAAATAATGTATTTATGTAAGATTTGTTTTAAATTGATAGAATAGATAAAATTATGTATTGGATAGAGCTTTACTGGTAATCTTTCTAGACCACCATTATAAAAATATTCATCTTAGTCTTTTTTCAGATCCACGCTTAACAGAGCATCAATACATGAGCTGCATCGAATAGAAATTTACCTTATGCAATGAATATCAATACATCTGTTAACATATTTCAGAACTAGAAAATCTTTATGCAAAGTCAATAACTGTTTGAAAATTGAGTTGTTATAAGAATCCTACAAAACAGACCAAAAATTCATTTTTTATTTCGTATTTCAATGTTCCAAACTCAAAGTCTTACACATGTATATGTAGATGTGCACTTGCATAAGGTAGGTCGATTTCTATCCAGCGCAGCTCACATTGTGTCCTAAAAATTAATGCTTCATGTTGACAGGCTGTAGAAAGTTAGTATCAATCTTACCAAGTTATGTACAAACACCTACTTGATTATTGTGTTCAACTGAATGACCAATAAATGATATCATTTTTAGTTTTATTTGTTTGTATACAAATATGATGGCATGCTCATGAAAGTAAAAACAATTGATCATAATGTTATGATTAATGCATACTTTATCACAATTACAACACTCTCCATATTAAATTAACAAACTATTTGTATGTGTTTCTTTGTCCTGTCTTATTGGAGATAATTGGATTGAACCAGGAACTCCTGCATACCAAGACCTGACTATTCTTACTTGTTTATCTTATATGTGTCATGTCATTTAAAAATGCATGGTCTGCATGATTACAATTTTTACATGTCAAGTATGCTATTGTTACTGAACGAAATTTGTCAGAAAGACTGATTTCTATAAAACATCATTATGAAAATAAGGAGAATAGGTATGATTACCAACAAAACTGCGGTCCAAAGAACGAAAACCTGTACAGCATTCAAGAATGAGTAAAACACTGACTGTATATTTAGTTATAAAAACATGACAAAATGTGAAACAATTTTAAAAGAGAAAACAAACGGCCTACAAACAATTTATTAAAAGTTTAATACTAAAGTGTACTAATACTATAACTGCATGCTAAATACAAACGGCATACAAACAATATATAAAAAAACAAATATGATAGACAACAACCAACAACAACCACTGAATCACAGTTTCCTGGCTTGGGACATCCAAAAATATGACAGGGTTAAACATACATATATTAGCCGTACAACTAACCTGTATATAAGTAAGTATGGTCACCATTACGAATTTGTTGACCAATACGCTGTGTCCGAATTTCAACTCTATAGTAAAATGTTTTCACAGTCTAAATGTTTTAGATACGGTATTGTCTTATGATCTATAACTTGACAGATTGTGTCCTATTCCCGATTGTGACTTTTTGACTGATTGTGGATTAGCATGGCGGGTGATGCATGCATATCAAGAGACACTGACTCCGTTGAAGCACCCGCTCTCGCTCCTTTGATAGTTTTCAGTTTTTGTTTGTTCACTTGATTTCTCTTCTATATCGATTTTCGAGATTTGAACACCGGTTAACGAGAATTTTCAAGCATACCGTGGTACTCTTCACTTTCATTAATACGAAATGGAGATTATGATAAAGACCCATGGACATTTTTTATTTGCAATTTTTAAGATCGACTCTTCAAAATAATAGCAGCGTTACTACTTATGAATATCATTTTTAGTGTTCTAAACTATAACTGCATGCTAAATACAAACGGCCTACAAACAATATAGCAAAAAAACAAAAACAAATATAATAGACAGCAACCAACAACAACCACTTAAACACAGTTTCCTGGATTTGGACATACATCAAAAGAATATGACAGGGTAAACATGCATATAATAACCCTACAGCTAACCCGGAACTGTTGAAACAGAACATCAAAGGGACAAGCTGTAAAACCAATTAGAAAGGGATTGACTTATCAGACTGACAAGAAACATAAAAAAACAACTGGCAAAGCAAGTATAAACGACTGAAATCGACAATACATGAGTTCGTATGGTCACCATTACGAATTGGTTGACCAATATGCTGTGTTCGTATTTCAAATCTATAGCAACATGTTTTCACAGCCTTAAATTTTTAGAAACAGTATAGTCTTATGATCTGTAATTTTACGGATTGTTTCCTATTCCCGATTGTGACAGTTTGACTTATTGTGGATTAGTATGGCGGGTGATGCAAGCATATCAAGAGACACTGACTTCGTCGAAGCACTCGCTCTCGCTCAATTTATAGTGTGTCAGTTTTGTTTGTTCACTTAATTTATCTTCTTTTTCGATTTTAGATATTTAAACATCGGTAAGCAACATTCGCCTTAACTTTAAGCCAAATTCAACCTATATATGTAGGACTCGAATCTATGATGGCCTCCAGATCTCTGGCAAGTTACAAATCAATGGCAAATATGACGTTACAAACGCCTTACAAATCATTAATATATGGCAGTTTTTTTGGTTTTTCCAAATCTGGCAGATTTTGAAATCCGCAACGATGGCGGAACACATGGGTTCGAATACCATTTCATTCTGGTGTCGCATGCAGAGCAGGAAAAGTTTACTCTTCCGGAGCACCTGATTTCAATCTTTGGTCTCATGATAATTTGTATTGTTCATGCTTTGGTTTTTGGTGTTTTCGGTGTTTGTGTTTCGTGTTTGTTTCGCTCCTTGTTTTCCAGTCTTCGTCTGTGTTCCCGATATGTCCTTGTCCCATGATTGTATGATGATGATGGATGGCTGCTCAATATCCAGCGGCAAATGAATATGCATATTCAGGACAGTAACATGTTAATGTAATATGAATATTAACCCTGGTTTGTACTAGACCGACATGCTGAGTCAGATTTTCAATGTGCTAGTTCACAAGGTATCAGTCCACAGGAATATATGTCACCTTACCCGGAAACATTATTCTGACTCTGAAAACTTAACTACATCATTTTCATCTATATATTTATGTCAAATACCAGTACTGTTGGAGAAAGTTAGATTTCTCGAGAAAGCCACATGTTTAAGGCAAGTAAATGGTCAAATATGTACTGACTGGTTCTCCATTTGCAGAAAATCTGCCATAGATTAGGAAACTGTTTTAAAAGATACCATTTACTCGGGTTTCAAATGTCTAACTTCATAAGTACACGGGATTCAAATTTATAACTACGTTAGTAAAAAGTAATGCTTTGTCTTCATTTACTATTTCATTCTGTAAGTGATATTTAACATTCGCATTTGACCAATTTATTTACCTAAATGAAATATCAAAAGTTAATGTGAAAATACACATTTTTTTAGAAAACCAGTAAAGATCAGTTTGATATCTGGTTGATTTTCCTGACTTGGTTCAAACGCTTCACGTATTGAGAGGAACTGCTTTTAAAACGGACTACAACTGTCCACGCTTATGACAGTCATTCATGGTTTGCTTGTTTAGTACTTGAAAAATTGTGCGAACTATGGTTCATTATTGGTTTTTGTTTCGTTACCGTCTAATGATTAATGTTACAGTGAATTCATTAAAACTAAATAAATTATGCAAAAACTGACTGTTTGACATGCATGTTGAGAAATAATATAAAACACAAACCTCGTCCGAAAAGATATTCATACAGGAAGTCTATTTTGTGTTTATTTATTCACGAGTAAACAAGAATGTTTGGCCACGCATGGTTCCTAGCTTAAATGTTCTCATCATTTGCCTATATTTTACCTAAGATCTGATTATTTTTCCAACTTGTCTAATCAAGTGAAAGATAGTGTTTACATTAAGTGATACCTTAAACTGAATTCAAAAGCCCAAGTACCTAAACATTATAAATTTGGCAATCGTAAACTCAACTTCATTTTGACTCAACTTAGATGCTCAGCTTCTTTTTTGAATTATGATCTTAACAGAGTCAATACAATTTCAGATCCGTCTTGTAGGTGTGGTGCTAAGCGTGAAGAATCATTTCACTTCTTTTTTGAATGTCATAATTATACGAATATAAGAATCAAACTATGTCTGGAGCTGGCATGTCAGTAACTGCTTTTGTCCTTTGTTCATTTATGTATCTTTGTCATTTTGCCTAGTTTTTTGTTACCTATTCTGACATTGGACCCGGACTTCTTTTATACTGAGTTTTACTGTGCGTATTGCTATGTGTTTTTTTTATCATACATTGGCTAGAGGTATAAGGGGAGGGTTGAGAACTTACAAAACATGTTAACCCCGCCGCATTTTTTGCGCCTGTTCCAAGTCAGGAGCCTCTGGCCTTTGTTAGTCTAGTATGTTTGTTAATTTTGATTTTAATTCAAATATATGTTTTGGAGTTTAGTGTGACGTCCATTTTCACTGAACTAGCACACAATTTTATTAAGGGGCCAGTTGAGGACAACCTCCGGGTGCGGGATTTTCTCGCTGCATTGAAGACCCATTGGTGGCCTTCGGTTGTTGTCTGCTCTTTGGTCGGGTTGTAGTCTCTTTGATATATTCCCCGTTTCCATTCTCAAGTTTATCTAATAATCTGAACTGGTTACCAGAGAACTCTCCACTAAATTTGAACATCTTAACCTCCGGTGATTCGTCATTAACTAGTGATGAAAATGAAAGAATTTTAAAGAATGTATATGAATTTATTAAAGATTCAAAGAGGTTTCTAATTGTGTAATATAGCACACTAAAGTGCATATACATGTATAATTGTGTACAACCACTCACATCATCCTTTTACATATCCAATATATATAATGTATTGTTTGCATGCATGCTTTGTAAAAAAATTCTACTGTTATAAATTGTTCACGGGAGAAGACTTTATAAGTTTGATTAACTTGTGTCTCATCCCTTTTGCATATTTAAGCAAATAAAATATGTTTAAACTAAGTGATACCTTACAGATTGTTTTCATTTGGCTTGTACCTTACTCTTTAGAAATATATAAAACACAGTTCGCAGAAAAAAATAGTAAAAGTGTATTATTAATGAGTGAAATTAGTTTGCCTAAAATATTAAGAACACAGCAGGAACATCAAATTCTACGTTATACTGCACACCTCTGTGATATTTTGTCAATATAACGGAACTATAAACAGCTGACATATACAAGTGGGAGGTTTAGCTAGCTAAAGAAACCAGGTGTAACCCAACAGTCTTTTTTTCGAATAATACCAGGTCAGAGAAATGGCAGTTGTTTTTCACTTTTTCCGTTGATAGTAAGCGTTTGATTTTATCGGTTTTATGGACTTCCCTTTTTGGAATTTGCACTGGTGTTCAGTATTTGTGTTAATTTATTTTATTACCGACTTTGAATGATTTTACACTAGTCATTTTTGGGGCCCTTTATAGCTTGCTGTTCGGTGTGAGCCAAGACTCCGTGTTGAAGGCCGTACTTCGACGTTTAATGGTCTACTTTTACAAAGTGTGATTTGGATGGAGAGTTGTCTCATTGGCACTCATACCACATCTTCTTATATCTATTAACATTTGAATATTTAGAAGTGGTAGAACTGGTATAATTTTCAT